AATTTGCCAGACAGTATCCATTAGCCAGAGAAGGTCCGCGGCCACCGACAGGGGTCAGGACAAAAAAAAAGACGACCATATATAAAAATGTAACAATCATTCCCCCACAACCTCTGCTTGGAGAGTAGGCAGACACTATATAAAGGCAGTGTATACTGTATTATATGGCCATGACAAACATCAAGACTATAAGTAACAAAATATACTTTGGTGACAGGTCTACAAATGGCAGAAACAAAGCAAGTACTAGTAGGAATTCTAAAGATGACAGACAATGTATTTCTGAAGTCTATTCCTACTAGTACCTTAGTACCTGTGCAGGTACAATGTATTTCTGATGTCTACCTGCACCTAACCTGCACTGGTCCATGTACTGGGTATATGTAGGTTAATGCAGGTAAAATTGGAGCTGTGCAGGTATTTTTGATGTCTACCTGCACCTAACCTGCACTGGTCCATGTACTGGGTATATGCAGGTTAGTGCAGGTAAAATTGGAGCTGTGCAGGTATTTCTGATGTCTACCTGCACCTAACCTGCACTGGTCCATGTACTGGGTATATGCAGGTTAGTGCAGGTAAAATTGGAGCTGTGCAGGTATTTTTGATGTCTACCTGCACCTAACCTGCACTGGTCCATGTACTGGGTATATGCAGGTTAGTGCAGGTAAAATTGGAGCTGTGCAGGTATTTCTGATGCCTGCACTGGTCCATGTACTGGGTATATGCGGGTTAGTGCAGGTAAAATTGGAGATGTGCTGGTATTTCTGAATGATTGTCTACCTGCACCTAACCTGCACTGCTCCATGTACTGGGTATATGCACCTTAGTGCAGGTAAAATTGGAGCTGTGCAGGTATTTCTGATGTCTACCTGTACCTAACCTGCACTGGTCCATGTACTGGGTATATGCAGGTTAGTGCAAGTAAAATTGGAGCTGTGCAGGTATTTCGTATGTCTACCTGCACCTAACCTGCACTGGTCCATGTACTGGGTATATGCAGGTTAGTACAGGTAAAATTGGAAG